ACAGACAGACAGACAGACAGACAGACAGACAGACAGATAGATAGATAGATAGATAGATAGATATAATGGTAAGTTAATCATTAGTTAAAAGAGTGTATTATTACAAATTTACAGGTGCATGAGAGGTTTTCAATAGAATTTTGTCCAATTTCACAGAACACTAACCTTTGTACCTTTGTTGTTTTCATGTGTGTCTATTCAATCGTATGCACTCAAAAGACCCTTTTTTATTCTTAAGTCCCAAAGCCAGAGAGAACAAACGACCAGACAGAGCTTTATGCGCCTTAGACCCATTCTGTGAACCAAACTACAGGCTAAAGAACACTGTCTACAGCTACAGATTTGGTCAATCCATGTTTTCCCCTGATCTGGCACATTCAATGCTATATTCATTTTCACAATGGATGCCATTGAGTTGTGTAAAAGAACACCTGCTCGCATGACATGTCAGGGCAGTGTAGTACCCTGCAGTTTCAAAGAGAACAGTTGTGGCAAACTGTGTTTTGCTATTTTTGAAGGTTGGTTGGATAAAAGCCAAAAAACAGACACATAATATTGTGTTGAATAAAAACTGTTTTCAAATTCATTGTCAATTATATCATTCTAATAAAATGATTAGTGACTCAGATGTGCCTTCTTTCTTCTTCTGTGTAACCTTTTGACAAAGGAAGTCCCTAGGATTTTTCTTTTAACTAAAGCACCTGTGAAACTTCACAAGAAATTATGATGTTTTGGAGTGAATAAAAGCCAGCAAGATTATTACATTGTTAAAACGGATAGTCCACCCACAAATGAAAATACTGTCATTATTTACTCACTTTCATGTCATTCCAAACTTATACGACTTTCTTTTTCTCTGGAACATAAAAAATAAGATATTTTGAGGAATGTAATTAAACAGTTTCAGTTCCCACTGACTTTCATAATAAATTATATAAAATGATGACTGTCTGTCTGTCTGTCTGTCTGTCTGTCTATCTGACTGACTGTCTGTCTGTCTGTCTATTTAACTCTGACTGTCTATCTATCTATCTATCTATCTATCTAAACAATGATTATGATTGCCTCCTGATTGCAATATTATTGATGCATGGAAATTCATGACATGTTTTATGTTTTTGCTTGCTGAAATTCTAAGATTGTTAAGCGCTGCAAAGTCAAATTCAAGCTGTGGAATATGGTAGCTGGTTTCTAGTTGGTAGACAGTGTTGGGAAGGTTACTTTGGAAATGTAATAGGTTACAGATTACAAGTTACCCTACTTAAAATGTAATAAGTAGTGTAACTTTTCAATTACTCTATTAAAGTAATGTAACTGATTACATTTGATTACTTTTTGATGACTTTTCTCAATTTCTAATGTTTTCAACTGTTAATCATTTTCAAACATAAACCAGGTAGGGTTAATCTTACAGTAGTACTCAGTAGTCAACACTGACTCCATGTGATACTGACGACTGGAGTAATGATGCTGAAAATTCAGCTTTGATCGCAGGAATAAATTACATTTTAAATATATCCTCCAATCGAAAGCAGTTATTTTAAGCTGAAGGTGCAGTGCAAGAGTGAACCTTTAATTATTTTAGTTTCCACGGCCCCAGACTAAGTATTTAGACCTTTTTTATGTGATGGCCTTACAAATAATAGGGTTGTCTGGTTTCAGAAACTGCTGTGATGTGGGCGTTTACACGCCACGCGCTTCACGTGGATGATTATAATATCTATAGCGCGCTCAGCGCTTGGGCGTGGTCGCATTAGATATAATGAAGGGAGACGTGAAAGACTGGACATCGCGTTGGTTTCATATGATTACTTTATCACAGAATATTTGCTTTCGATAAGACTTGCTTAGTTTAAAAGTAGACATGTCAAGCTTTCTATAGATATATCTCTCATGTCTCTTTGTTGAGTATTTGCTGAGTTACAGTTCATTTTAATGACGCGTTTCTAAATAAAGATCACGCAGACCAAGGCAGCAGACTGCGCACCTTGTTTGTTTTCTTTATTTTATAAATGCACAAAGTTTTGTTGTTATTATGTGTGTATACAAATAAAAGTAGACCATTTACAGATTCGATTGATGTATTGCTCTTATCTGTAAGATCAAAACTGAAAGTAATTTAAGTTCTTTTCGGTGTTATCAGGAGAAGATGCCACAAAACGCGTATCCGCGTTAGTCGAGCTCGGAGGGTTAATAGCTCCATCTTGTGGCGAAGAGGGCCATGCAAAAAAAAACAATGAATTATTGAAAAACAGAATATTGTTTTCTTTTTTTCTTATATGTACTAAATTAGATATTATGAGACAATTTAAGTAAAATATACATATACTGACACATTTTAAAATGATTGTTTGTTTGTTTTTGTAACTTTATGCTTTTAGTCATTTGCTCAGTGATGGTTGATTTTGGTTGTATTCTTCAGAAATCACCATACTTTTTTAAAGGTTTTGGTACGACATGAGCAGTGTTGGGAAGGTTACTTTGGAAATATAATAGCTTACAGATGACAAGTTACCCTATCTAAAATGTAATAAGTAGTGTAACTATTTCAATTACTTTATTAATGTAATGTAACGGATTACATTTGATTACTTTTCTACATTTCTAATGTTTTCAACTGTTTCAAACATGTAAAGCAGGCCGGGTTAACTTTACAGTACTCAACACTGATTATTGTCAGACTTTCGAAATCCTTCATCACTTGAATAAAGATTATAATAGTTGAATTTTAAAGGAGACATTGGATGCAAAATGTGTGTGGAGTAATCAAAGCTGAATTTTCAACATCATTACTCCAGTCTTCAGTGTCACATGATCCTTCAGATATCATTGTAATATTCTGATTTGCTGGCTCAAAAAACATTTATTATTATTATTATTATGTTGAAAACAGATTAGATTTTTTTTTCAGGTTTCTTGATGAATAGAAATGTCTGAAGAACAGCTTTTATCTGAAATAGAAATATTTCTATTCATCAAAGTACTCAACTGTTTTAATCAGACATCAGAAGACTACAGAGAACGGTTCGGACTGCTGAAAGGATTATTGGTGCTCCCCTGCCCACCCTTCAAGAACTGTATACATTCAGAGTGAGGAAAAAGGCCCAGAAAATCACTCTGGATCCCTCACATCTAAGTTATCCCCTTTTTTAATTTTGCCATCTGGCCGGCGCTTCAGAGCCGCAAATACCAGGACAGCCAGGCACAAGAACAGATTCTTCCCCCAGGCAATCTACCTAGCTCATGAACAGTTAAATGCATTCCATTCAATTCTATCATCTATAGCACAACTGTACATACAATTTATTTATTTTTCGTTTTATTTTTCAATATTTGTCTATATATATTTACATATGCGTATTTTTTTTTATTCTTATCTTATTTTTTATTGTCTGTGTGTTGTTGTTGTTGTCTCTGTGTACTGGAAGCTTATGTCACTAAAACAAATTCCTTGTATGTAAATTCCTTGCATACTTGGCAATAAAACTTTCTGATTCTGAAAATGACTGACGGTATAACACCAGTAGACTTTTATTAACTATAAATGTTCTTTAAAAACAACAGCAGCTTTCAGCCTGTCACCATGATGCAAACATGAAATATCAGACATACAGTAGTAGTTCTTTACAGGTTTTTTATTCGATTGCGCTGCTTTTCCATAGTTTTTTCTGTCTAAACATGGATGTGTTTGACTGCTGCGTTCGCGTCTCTTGCAGCGTCTCATGCATGAAACGCCATTCTAAAAACACTGCGCTCAGTGTTAGTGGTCAGTCATAAGTTCACTCCCACCTTCTTGCATGTTTTACCTATTCTACTGTCCGCGTTGCATCTTTGTCAACACAAAAGCGCATTTTGTGTGAATGGCGTTTAGCCTATGGTCCTTCACAGAGCGCGTCACACGTGAGCGGTTAATCACGTGCGCCGACATGCGGTTGGATCGTTCTTTTCTCATTACTGTTATCACCGGCATATTGTCAAAGTGTCTAATTCTAACATTTGGTAATATTTCTATTGAAAATCGCGATTCCTCGATTTCTAAAAAATAAAATAGTGGCAAAACAATAAATTCGAATTAATCGATAACATCGGGAAAATCGCCCAGCCCTAGGTACGAATTACTACTTAAGGTACTAATATGTACTGCTAGGTGTTGTTGTACCCCAAAAGGTACAATTTTGGCCCTTTTTTCTGTGTGGCCTGGATGAGTGTGAGATTTCCCGGCCTGAAATTGCATCCCAGTCCGACCCTGGTTACATGTAACTAGTTACTTCCCAACACTGCTGGTAGACCATCTTGAACCATGGTTTTTGCATGGTGGTCCACCAGCTAATCATCTTGGACCAGATATTATCCAGCTTGGACCAGCAATAAACCAGCTACCACCTTCCAAAACACAGCTAGCAGCTTAAACTGGACTTTCAAGCAGCACTATAATAAGGACATAAACTGAGCACCGAGAATTGATCACTTTTGCTGTAGCAAACAACCTGCAAAATAATTAAAGAAAGGACTAGCAACCGACTGGTTATTCTCACGATTTTATATGTATCAATTTCACCTGTTTTTATTTTATTCTATTGTTATTTTTAAATTTTAAAGATAAGATTTCTTTCAGGACACGTAATTAATACTCAAAACCTGGAGTAAAAGATCAACCCGACCACTTAATTATTTAAAGCGCATCATATTTTATACCTTTATATTCGATTATATATATATCGAATAATATAGACTACTTCATTCAATTAATTGGTCGATTCACACATCCGCAGGAAGATCATGTCCTCCCCTCTGTCCAAAGAGCTCCGCCAGAAGTACAACGTGAGATCCGTGCCCATCCGTAAGGATGATGAGGTCCAGGTGAGGACATTTCCAGTTTTTCCTACCTGGTCAATGTTAGAGTCTGATGTAAAGAAATGTTGTTTAGTATAATACTGGCCTCCTTACTTGGCGTAACATTCCTTGCTTGATTTTTTTTCTCTCATCACCAGGTTGTCCGGGGACACTACAAAGGCCAGCAGATCGGCAAAGTTGTCCAGGTCTACAGGAAGAAGTATGTTATTTACATCGAGCGCGTTCAGCGTGAAAAGGCCAACGGCACCACAGTCCATGTTGGCATCCACCCCAGCAAGGTATGTTTTATATCCAGATGTTTGCTTGCATGCTAAACATGAGATATCAGTGTCATTGAAAAAATAACTAGTGGTTGTCCTACATCTACAGGTGCATCTCAATAAATTAGAATGTCGTGGAAAAGTTAATTTATTTCAGTAATTCAACTCAAATTGTGAAACTCGTGTATTAAATAAATTCAATGCACACAGACTGAAGTAGTTTAAGTCGTTGGTTCTTTTAATTGTGATGATTTTGGCTCACATTTAACAAAAACCCACCAATTCACTATCTCAACAAA